ATTTGAGGAGATTAAAGAAATAAGTTAAGTTGGTTATTTATAATAAATAAGTATTGTCATTCCTAAAATATCTTTACTAATTAAGTATATTGGCTAAAACTATCATTATTAGAAGGATTATTTTAGAAAAAAAATGTATAAATATTACAAGTTATGCGTGTGTGTATGAACAAGTAATACAATATTTTCCTTCTCTGATAAAATCTCTTCATTTGCAGGAAAAAAATAATAGCTAATTAAGAACTATAGACATTATTGCAAAATATACAATGGTGTGATATAAGTTTTGCCATAACACTTCCTTGTTGAATTGCCAATTTGCCACTCCACTTGTTCCAGAGATGAACACCATAAGTTTGTCCTCTGAGCTGAATCAATTTAGCTCTCACCCATCTTGTTTCATCCCTGTTCTTGGGCTTCTGAAACCACCCACCTACCCTGGTCCAATCCACAGGATAAAACGCCATTGGAGGTAACACTCTCAAGTTTAAACCACCTTCTGCTTTCACCCTCTCAACTACTCTTGACACTAGATATGGACCGTTATATCCCCACTTGTTGCCATTAAAATTCAACGCAAATTCTTTTATGAATCGTAACAAAAGCGGGTGATTCTTATCAAACACAAGAACTGCGTTGTTCAACCTAGTCCAGTGCTTAGAAACAGAGTCCGTACTTTGTGCTCCAATGCAATTACTTAATCCTTTGAAGGGTTTAAGGATTATGAAGTCTGTGTCTAGATAGATGCCTCCGTATTTGTATAGAACCACAAGTCTTATTAAGTTTGATAGATTCTGGGGCAGAGGAATCTCACCTGGGTCCTTCTTCCCTTTTATCAGATCATGAAGCCATTTTTCTGCTGGAGTTCTCTGAAACAAAAATGGCAGATTTGGTGTCACAGCCTGGACTTTGAATCCACGATCAATAAGAGGCTTCAGAATCTTATACCCTTGTTTGGAATCTAAAGTTCTTGATAGGATTACTAAGCATGCCTGAGGATGAGCCTTGAACAGAGATTCTAAGGATAACAGTTCTCTGTTTCCAAACAGGCTCGCAGGGGAAATCCAAGTCATGAAGAACTGAGCTTCACATTCATGGCGGAAGAGTCGTACAACTCTAGCATGAAACTGACGGGTCAAATTGTTTGACTCGAAAATCTTGAAGTCGTGAAACCTCTTCCGGAACCAAGCGATCCTTTCTTTTTCTGTGACATTCAATGGAGGAACCAGAGGCTTCTGGTTTCCCCTATCAACTTCCTCTTCTTCATCGTCAACGGGCATGCGGGAAAGCGTTGACTCTATTGCTTTCTGAATTCTGGGTTTCTGCAATTGTAACTGAAACTTCTCAGGAGCTTCATGATTCAGGGAATAATGGGGGCTCCTTATGTCTTCACAGAGAAGAAAAATCATTGCACAGAAAGTGATAAAAGACAACATGATACAGAGTTTGGCACGTATAAGAATCTTGCGATCAAACATGGTGCAGAACATTCGATATGAATGATGATGAAGCAGAGGTAGCTAGCAGAGAAATTGCAGCTTTCAAGAAGACAATATGAAGGAAGACTGAATTAATTGGGGATGAATTTGTCAAATTTAGAAGCAACCAGGGTGCACGTCATGGTGTGGCGGCTAGCTGTGGTGATGAGTGATGTGGATGAACACGGTTTGCTGCTACCTTCTTGGTTTTTTTTTTTTTTTTTTTAATGAAGCTTTTTATCCTTTTATCTTAAATTTGAATGATATAAATTTTAAATTTAAATTTTATTTCAAGTTAGAATTATCATTATCTTCTTAACTAATAATTGAAAAAATTTATTTTTATTTTACATTCTTTTTTAATGAAAAAATCTTTAAAAAAAGTAAAACATGATATTAATGACGTAAATTTATTCCAGATGATCTAAATAAGAGATAAGCACTATTAGAATAATTGAATATCGTCTACATTAATGAATCCAACTAAATATGATTATTCTTATTATTTAACAATATACTCGAGTATGTAAGCTTGATCATTTTTAATAAAAAATATCACTTATATATTTTATTAAAATTGGGGATTAAAGTGATAAGATAACCTTGTCCATTAAGTTATACTGAAATTATATGCAAAGTTAGAAGTAAGTTACATATCATATAATCATATTAGATAAAAAAAAATCACTCTCTAAAAAATAAGTTATAATTTACCAATTGTGTGACTTCTCTAAAAAAATTTTTCCAACCACAATTTTTCTTTTCCAATTCATTGATGTATTAATAAAAAAAATCGCAATTAATAACAAAGATCAGGTAGGTAATTAACGGCAATATTCACTCATAATATTAAATAGTTTAAAATGATGTATACTTTTAATGATAATAAAGAATAGATTCATACGTCATTTATTGAAAAAACAAATCATGCGGATTTTATTTCAGTTATGTGAGTGCTAGTTTTTTTATCATATAACTAAGTTTCTGACCTGGTTATGTAGTCCAATTAAGTCACTAATTAAGATTAGGCAATACTAGAAAAGGAAATTAGATTTAAATTGTGTTACAAATCACCTTTTAGTTTAAGGGTCAATGTATTTCATGATTTGAATATAATTTAAAATTTTCAGTTCATGTATAATCATTTTTTGGCTAATTAATGTGTTTGTTTATTTGAAAATAAAATGAAAACGGAAAGATATATAATTATGAATAAATGCAAACAAATGAAAATAGCTCTAATTCCAACACCTTTGGGAAAGTTTGGCGTCAAAGTTTTGCTATTAACTGTCACATATTTGACACTTCTTATTAATATAGATATCAGTTATAAAATATCCTTTTCTATTATTTTTAAAATCACTATAAAATAAAAAAATTATAATAAATTTCATTGTTTATAAAAATTTTAGGTTATAAATAATGCAATATAGTTCTTAAGATGATGACCACGACGATAAAAATAATAAGGCAATAAAAATATTGAGTGTGTTACCTTGTTCCGTTTATAATAATGGCTTTGTTCAAAATTTCCACGGAAAAAGATATGGTAGACGATATGTATACTGGTGATACATAAATAAAACAAAAGAATATTCGATAAACCTAATTAAATTGCTTTAATTAACTTCTAATGTCATCGTTACAATAATCATGCACGCATCACATTTCTGCATTATTCGTAGATCAGATGTGATGTCTCATCTGTCAACAATATTAAAATTAAAATCATACTTGTTGCGCCTGGATAATTATGTTTTATTCAATAACTTCTTTACATAGGGTTGATAATCCTTATTTTAATTAATTATTCTATATAAGGATATATAAGCAAAAATCACGTCAAATCTCTGGCGTGAGTGATGTAACCAATGAGTACATTAGTCAATGGACCATGGCTGTATAAAAAACATTAACATACCAACACGCTTTTGTTTTAGCATAGCAAGTTTTGATGGCTTAAACACGAAGTTTCAAACTTAAATTCATGTTTTAAAAAAAAACCTTAAATTCATGTTAATAAAAAAAAACTGTTTAGGAGGGCCACTTTTAATTGGAAACAATACTTTCCCCAACAAAAAAAAAAGACATGCTTGTGAAAAGGCGGAAAGAAAACATGAACACAATTACAAATTTGGCATTTAAAATTGGAAAAATAAGGGATAACATAACATAGAACAATCATTAGTGCCTGTACACAGATTGTTTCGATTTAGTCTTTTAATTTTTTAAAAATATTTTTTTCATTTCTTTAATTAATCCTTAGTCTCAAATGATTATTTTTATGTCAATCATTGTTATTTTTTCAAAATTAAAATTAATAGGTCTACATTTAAAAATATTTCATCTAGTTTTTTAGTTTTATTATGTCAAGTTCTCTAATCACACGTGTAATAAAAAACTTGACATAATGAATATAAGAAATTTAAAGTAATTTTTTATTAATATTTAAAATTTTAATGTAGTGTTTTTGTTAACAATGTTAGAATTAGAGAATTGCAAAAGACACTTAATAGAATTAAGTTATCAAAATCAAGCCACATGTGAAGTTAAGAACTGAAGATACACTTTTGATTGAAAAAAAAAAAAAGCGTTACAAATAGGTAGCAAATAAAAAATTAATTATATTTACAAGTAAATATTAAAGAATGACATGTCAATCCTAGAGGCTTCATTTTGACATGTAATTCTCCCCAAATTAAAAAGAAAAGAAACTTTAGTATTATTTGAGGCAATGGTAATTGTAATTAAAAATCAAGAAGTTTATGTAAATATTGAATTTTAAATTAGTAAAAATTATATCTGATTTACTGATTTCAAACCCGAGTTTGCAATATAATGGATATTCAAATTATAAACCAATTAATGCCATCTTCTAACTGGACTCTTCCAACCCATCTTCGTCTATATAATCTTGGAGACCAGATCTTCGGAACCATGCTCATTACCTTCATAAATATTTCAAACTCATCAGATTTAGATCATTTATATTAATTATTTTAATATGTATAGAATTTAAAATAGAGATAATATCTTAATTATCATTTTTTTCAAAAAATAGTTTTTCTATTTAAAAGTAATTAATTAAAAAGTTTAAATCTGCACTGTTTAAATTAAACGGTTTAAATCTGATGAGTTTAGGATTATCATCAAAACTGAAACTCTAGTTCTTCCCCCCACCCCCCAAGAATTTCGATGTTTATTGATTTCTAATGAAACCTTTTATCGGAGAAAGCTTGGACGACGGTGCACACCAAAACAAAGAAAAAGCTTGGGCGAGCCAGTTCCCCCATCTTCTTCGTAATCTCTTTCTTTGCCTTTATAATTTTGTGTGTCCACAAGTGCCAAACAACGAACCATGATTATTATGTCCTACGTCGTTCTTTAATGGGTTTGCACTTTGCAGAATCCCATAAACACAAAAGGAAACAATATAATGACGACACTTTCCGGCGCAGTTCTTCTTCGTTCGAATATTCCCATGCAACGAGTCGATGAGGATCATGATGATCCAGTGCTGCCATGGAACCTCACAACAAAACACCAAGGGATCGGCTGGCTCGAGAGAAACTTCATGAGTCCAGGATTTTGAAATCCAACGTCGTCACTCGTCAGTTTCACAGGAGAGTTCTGGGAATCTTGAGCAATAAATGTGAATCTCAGTTTCTCATAACTGGGATATCCCCAGCGAGGTTGTTTTTAAGCAGGGAATTGTTATCCTTAAAAAACTCTTTTCAAGGTTCATCCCAGAGCGTGTTTGATCAGAGTATCAAGAACTTTGGATTCCAAACAGGGTAAGAGGATTCTGAGGCCTCTGACTCGCGATCGATCGTGGGTTCAAAGTTGCATCTGTGACACCAGATTTGCAGAGTTTGTTTCGTAAGACTCCTGCAAAAGCATGGCTCCATGATCTGAGAAAAGGGAAGGACCCAGGTAAGATTCCTCTGTCACAGAATCTATCGAATCTCATAAGACTTGTGACTCTGTACAAGTATGGAGGAATATACTTAGACACAGATTTCATAGTGCTTAAATCTTTTCAGTTTTTCACGGGTTGAGAAATTCTATTGCTGCACAAGGCGTGGACCCAGTTTCCAAGAACTGGACAAGACTGAATAATGCAGTTCTTCTTTTTGACAAGAATCACCCGCTTCTGTTTCGATTCATTGAAGATTTTGAAACAGGTTTTGATGGGAACAAATGGGGGCATAATGGTCCTTACATGGTTTCCAGAGTGGTTGAGAGGGTTAAAGAAGTGTTGAAATTCACTATTTTGCCTCCGACGTCGTTTTATCATGTGGTTTATCATGTGGATAAGAAGCCAAGGAATGAAGAGGAAGCCAGATGGATTGAAGGCTTTTCATATAGGATTAGAATTTCAAAATGACAAATAGGAGATGCTGATTATTTTTATATAAATTTTGATATGTCAAATCATCTATTTTTTATTTTGAAATTTAATGCGTTTTTTTTTTTTTCATTTTCCCTTTTCACTTTTCACTAGTCAATGTAAATTTATGAAAGTTTAATCATTAAAGCAGATTTCAATTTGGGCCTATTGCCAAAGTTCTATAAAGATAGATTCAGAAGGCCTAAGCCCAAACTCAATCAAACAAAGTCGTTGCAATGAATTATTTTTTCCCGCCTTCATTCAGTTCCACATCACAAATCAAAATCTTGCTAGGGGATAATTCATAGGCATCTTTACGAGTGCTCTATAAGTTAAAAAGTCCAATCCTTGACTCTGATGAGCCTGTAACATCTAACTCAATTTTTTTATTTTTTATTTTAGAAATAGGTTAGAAATGTTTTCTCATTACATAAATCTCTATCTTGGCCCAAAAAAATCACATAATTCTATCTTTTTAATTCCCGATTGAGACAGCAATTTTTCTAGCAAATAAAATGTGAGTTTTCTAAGATTTACTTACCCGTCATCTCAATGGAGAGAAAATGAGAGAAGAAAAAAGACTATTAAAAAAAAAAGAGAGAAATGAGTTTCTTTTATTTGAATGAAGGAGAAAATCTAAGAGGAAAAAAAGCTAAAGAGAAAATGGGGTGTGAGACTCACTCCTTTTCCTCTCCAACTTTTGTCTCCAGCATATATGAAGAGAAAATGAGGAGAAAACTCATTCTTCCTTCCTGCCCTTCATCTTTTATTTTTACATTATATTTTTAGCATTTATTAATAATGTTAAAGAATGTATAATTTATTTAATTCTTTTTATTATATATAATTTAAAAATATGTTTTAATTTTGTGTTGAAAATAATTTTTTTAAATATAGTAACATATACTACCTCCGGTCCTAATTATAAGACCCAGTTGACTTATTTGAGGAGATTAAGGAAGTAAGTTAAGTTAGTTATTTGTAATAAATAAGTGTTGTCATTCCTAAAATATCCTTACTAATTAGGTATATTGGCTAGAACTACCATTATTAGAAGGACTATCTTGGAAAAAAATGCATAAATATGATAGACAGAATGGATTGGGCTCTTATAATTAGGACCAAACAAAAAGTCAAATGGAGTCTTATATTAAGGACCGGAGGTAGTATTTATGAAATAATTTAAAATCAAATTATTTTTTTGCCCAGATTAAAATCAAATATTTGATAATACTAATTTTAATATGATTTTTCCATTCTAATATTTAATTTGATTTCAAACATTATATATTTTTAGATATGAGGGTATTTTAGTTATTTAGATATTGCTTATTTTTTTTCTCTATGTGTTTTTCTCGTTCATGCAAATTGAGGAAATGATAATTTTTTTTCCAATTTTATCTCCTCTTCATTTTCCCTCCTCCAATTTTTCTTAATCCCAACTTTTTTCTCATCCAAACAAAGCATTAAATAAACTTACATTTACATAAATATTAATGGTATATTTATGCAGAATATTGTGCAAAATAAATTTCAAATTCGAATGCTATAAATATTATGAATAGTTTTTAGGTGACCAAATATTTTGAAAGAATTACAATAAAGTTTGAATGAAAAAAAAATACAAAATAAGTTCCAGAGATTATCATCTTGCACAGGTTACTTTTAGTAATTATTTCTCTTCCTTAAAATTTAATTGTAATTCTCCTAAATATTTTGAGCGGTTATTCACTTATGTGCTATACTTAATTTTTTGAACTTGATATGCGCTTTCAGTTTGTCAGTAAGCAATTTTCAAATGTTTTGTAACTTTTTATTAAAGACATAACATGCAGTTTTTGTATTATCTCTGGACAAGAGGCTGCCATTTTAGAAAAATCATTTTTGAACAAAAACTAATTTATTAAATCTAACATAAAGTGGCTTCAAGAATTAGAAATATAAATATAATAATAAATCACCATATAAGATATAAAACTACTATACTATTCACCAGTCATAAATAGTTTTTCATACTTTACAAATCCATCGCCTATTCTAATAACCACACTCAAAACATGCATATTCTTCATCAACTTCCCTTGACTAATCCATTCTAGTGTATTTTATTTTATATGTAAATATTTTATTCTGGTCCAATCCACAGGATAAAACGCCATTGGAAGTAACACTCTCAAGTTTAGACCATCTTCTGCTTTCACTCGCTCAACTACTCTTGACACTAGATATGGACCGTTATATCCCCACTTGTTGCCATTAAATTCAACGCAAATTCTTGTATGAATCGTAACAAAAGTGGGTGATTCTTATCAAACACAAGAACTGCGTTGTTCAACCTAGTCCAGTGCCTAGAAACAGAGTCCGTTTTAGCATGAATAATTGCTTGGGAGGATTGGTTGGGGATTGGCATGGGTATTTGGATCTTATTTGGTATGAAGTATTGAAAATGAGATATAGAAATTGGGATTGCAGTTAAAAAAAATCATTAAAATGAAATTCCATATATAAAACGAAATGTTAGCCTAGAATAGAAGCAAAACATTAATCTAAGCACTGCGATCGTGAACCTGGTGAGTATAGCGGCCTCATTTTGCTCCCTTGTTTCGTGCTCCTTGATGACAAGTTGCCTCAGGCCTACGACTTCTAGATTTTGCTCTCTACTTTCGTCCCCTATGACGACAAGTTGCCTGAAGTTCGGACTAACAATTTCGACCCCCCCTCCTCACTGAATAAGGAGTTGGATTTTCCAAAGAGAAGTCCATCTCCTTGTCCTCACAAGTTCAGTGCTCCTTAGGGTCCAAACCCCCGGTAACAAGTTCAATTTCCCTACCTCTCTTTTGAATTTCTGTGTTATTGGAAGGCAAATAGTAATTCCCTTTTTTTTTTAGATACAAAGGAAAAACCAAAAGGAAACTAGAGATGACTAAGAAATTAAAGGTATGCCCATCACCTACTGCACACGTCCAAGCTGATCCAATAAAATTAATTTATGGAATAATAAAACTGACTCATATATGTATCTGTTTATTATTTCTTATTAGAACTAATACTGTAATGGTACCTAACTCAAGGATTGTTTAAATCCAATAAATTAATTTTGGAATAATAAACCAACTCCTATATGTATCTATTTAGTATTTCATATTAGCACTAATACTGTAGTGGTACCTAACTCAGGGATTCCAATTCTAATAAAATTACTTTCTGGAATAATAAAACCGACTCCTATATGTATCTATTTAGTATTTTTTATTAGAACTAATACTCTAATGGTACCTAACTCAAGGATTGTTTAAGATACAATAAAATTAATTTCTAGAACAATAGACTAACTCTTATATTTATCTGTTTAGTATTTCTAATTAGCACTAATATTGTAGCTGTACCTACCTCAGGGACTGTTTAAGATGCAATAAATAAAATAAATTTGTGGAATAGTAAAAGTGCCTCCTATATGTATCTATTTAATATTTCCTATTAGCACTAATATTGTAGCTGTACCTACCTCATGGACTGTTTAAGATATAATAAAATTAATTTGTGTAATAGTAAAACCGACTTCGATATGTATCTGTTTAGTATTTTCGATTAACACTAATTCTGTAGCTGTACCTACCTCAGGGACTGTTTAAGATCCAATAAAATTAATTTGTGGAATAGTAAAACCGACTCCTATATGTATTTGATATATAATCATAAATAGTGGGATTAAAAGTGGTATTACTAAGTTTATGAGCCATAGATTGACTCTTATATATAGGACTCGGATAGCCTAATGTTGTAATTAATGAATGATTCATGAATAATATTCAGCAGATTCCTTCTCTCTATCATCTCTGTTCTTTCTCTCTCTCTCGTCCCTAAACTCCTATTTTCTCTGTTTCTTTCCCTGCTCCCTGATACTCTTCTATAGCCGTGTATCAGTGGTATCAGAGCAGTCCTTCCTTGACCTTTATGCCCACCACTCCTTCTGATTTAGCCAGAGATCAAATGTTGGAGGCTTCTACCGATCAATTGCAGGCCATTGAAGTGAAACTTCAAGAATTATGCAAATTAAAAGTCTTACCTGACGCTATCAAGGCATTGTCCACACAACTCAATAATCTTTAACAAGATCGTGAGTCTGGGAATCATAGGGCTTGGCGCGATGGTCTTCAGCGAGTTGCACGACCACGACCTGAGGGGCTTGACTATCAACCTCCGACGCAGTTTATAAAGATGGACTTTCCCTACTTTCAGCGTCATGATATCACCAGTCGACTAGCCAAGTGCAATTGATTCTTCCAGTTGGACAAAACACCTGACGAATAGAAGGTGACTATCGTAAGTTTGTATTCGGATGAGAAGGCGCACATCTGGCATTTAACATTGGAAGAAGGCACCGAGGGAACTCCGTTAACTTGGTTGAAGTATCGAACTACCATTAAGAAGCGCTTCGGTGTTGTCTTTGACGAGCCCATGACAGAATTGAAGCGTTTGAAACAGTTGGGTAGCCTGGATGATTACAACAATGCATTTGATGATCTTCTTTACAAGCTCTGTTTGTTAGAAACTCATATAGTTTAGACTTATATAGAGGGGTTACATCCTGATTTTGCTCAACAGGTCCACATTTTACGACCCCAATCTATGGACGAGGCGAGAAATATGGCTAAGATTCACGATATGAATCTATGCGCTGAGGCCGACTGGAAACTGCCCTCCAAGAAACCTACTTTTGACGTGTTGCAAACAAGGAATAGATGGAGAGTGTCGAAAGCTACTTCTTTTGGGACTGGGTCCCACTTTACTAGCTCCAAACCCACTCTTCCAACCACCAAAACATCTGCGTTTTCTTCCAAGCTAGGCACAGGGTCCTTTGTTTCTTTGAACTCCCACTTTTCAACCACTAAGAACAGGGTGACCACTTCCCAGAAATTGACTCCTGATGAGGTTGAGGAGTATCGCAGTCAAGGCCTCTATTTTTACTGTCACCAGAAATTTAGCAAAGGACATAA